GCGGGTGATGGATATGCTATATAACAATTATCATTGCTTGATGATGATAAAGCACAAATTGCTATCGATATGTAAAGTAGATGTAAATAAATATGATAATAATATAACAAAAAAAAAAAATAATGATAAGTTACCATTTGGATTAGGACTAGTTTCAATTGTGTGCAATAATTTCATATTACTAATATCGTAAACAAAGATCGTTTGTTCCAATACAACAATCAATCTACGACGATTAAGTTTAACGGCAAGAATTGAAGTGTTGAAAGTAAGTTCACATATTGTTGATTGTCGCTTTAATTTCACAATTTTTTTTTGGAAAAAATAATAAAGTTAATATCTATAAAAATTTAAACAAAATCAAAACTATAATAATAATAATATGAATATTTATTTACCTTAGTATTAGTAATTTGTAAACGTCTCGGAGAAAATGAAGGATGTTCGCCAGCCCCGACTAAAGCAACTAACGATGTACAAAATAACATTTCAACTATTCCAATACCGCCATCAGCTATGTTTTATGATACAACATATTATTATTTGTATAAATCAAATTTTTTGTTAGATCTAGCGGAAATTATGGTAAACATGTTCTCTAATAATCGTTCATTTTAATAATGAGTATTACAGGTATTGTTCCCAAAAAAGAACTGATACTTACATTTTGAATAACATTTTCCAAATGGCTCGCAATTATATATCTTATATCCATTTTGCGTGCCAACAGAAATACAACTTAATTTTTTTTGGGGGGGAGTTTTTAATTAAAAAAAATATATATATCAGCAAACAATGAATTACAATTATCAACAACAGTTTTTGTTTCTTAATCAAATATTTTTCAAAAATAAAAAATAATGAGCATTAGAAGCAATAAAAAAGAGGTGGAATGAAGGCGTGTACATATGGGTTGTGGAAAATTTAAGATCAAAACAGCACTTGTCAAAAACAAAAACAGTTAAACTTACCTAAAATCTTGATTGAAGTTAATGAATAATAATTCATTATTCCCTTTTTCACTAAGATTCATTTTGAGTATGTATAAATATTGTAAATTTTTATTGTTAATTGAAATGACAAGTTTATTTGTATTTTTTTTTTTGAGCTAAAAATTAACAGAAAAGAAAATAATATCGTAGCCAATTATTGCTAAGCCACCAAATGTATGCTGCGTTGGTTAAAATTGATAATGTTAAATGTCGATTTTTACTCCCCGTAAATAGCTTTTATTATGATTATAAATTATTAATATATGTGTATACAAAATAAAAGAACTGGTTGTTTGAATATTAAAAAAAAATTTTATTTGTTAAATTTTAAATTTTTTAATAATTGTGTTGATGGTTCAATATGCACCCAAACCTTTTCATGTCCTGCCTGGGATGGTTTTTCTAATACATTATTATTCAAGTACAATCTGATACTTCAGGGCAAAATAATATTTTTTACACATTGACGTGATGAAAGCACGCATCTGAAACTTCTTGCCTTAACAATACTGATTCTAAGGTTATCATGTTACCAATGGTAATGTATCAAGATTTGTAGTTTTTTCAACCAACTTGGGTGGGATGTTTAATTATCACATGATTTATTTGGATCAATATTAGTTGTTGATAATTTTTACATTCTTGTAAATAACAAGAGGATCTGTTTTTGTGTCCTTTTTCTTTTAGAAAAGCATTAACAATTTGTTTATTGATTCCGATACAAGACCACATTTTAATCATGTGGTGTTTTTATATGATAAGGAATTATTTGCAATAATATTTAATGAATGTTTGGCTCCCAAAGTATTTTTCTTAGAAATTAGGACTATCATTCTCTGTAATCTTTTGAAATCACATTCATTGCTTTCTTCTTTTGGCCATGATGAGAAGTGTGAAGAGCGTGAAGATGAAGAATGAACAATCAAAAAACAATTGTGTTGATAACCTTCTGTATTTTCATCAAATCACTGCTCAATTCATATATATGTGCGTTCTTTTTTGCACAAAGATAGTTAATTTTGATTTTGAAAAAAATAAGTAGGTAACAAAATGGGACATGCTGCAACAAAACCAGACAAAGTGAACATTGGTGTTACCAAGAATTTCAAGGATCAAAATTTAGTAATGTGATTATTAAAATCTCCCATCTGCTATCTTTATTAAATGGCATATAGAACTACTCCTATATAATAATAATAATAATAATAATAATATGATGGAAACCCAAGGGCGATCCTTCTTTTTTTCAGATAAATCATCTGTTGGATAAGAAATTGATTGTCCTAATTCATATATGTTTAATCTATGATTTAAGATCTTTTTCCATGATCCCATTTCACAATATTTATACATTCAAATTCTTCTTTCTTAACAAATAATTTATTATGCAATCAAGATCAATAAAATATGTAAAGTTTCATTAATTATTTTTCAAGATCCATATATGATTTCAGATGCATTTTCTTGATGCAGAAAAGAGATAACAAAACATTTGAAAAATTTACAAATGTGTTTTTTATATTACTATATTGATTGACTATTGTTATTAAAAAAATGTAGATGTTGAAATAGAAAATTTTATTTTACTGGCTGCTATCAAATTTATAAATTTAAAGCAAGTAGTTGTTTATGTGTGTAAATAAACTATCATTTGGTGGATTTGATTGGTGAGCTCCATTCATTATCATCTTGTCAACAAACTTTGCAAAGTCCAAGTGGTTCAAAATGGCTGGAATACTTGGAATCTGGTTTTTTCCACAGAAATTCAAAATCAATCCATCATATTTCTTTTTACAATATTTTAAGTGTTTACTGAATCTTGATGGTGCTGGAATGGCTTCTACACACTTTGTAATTTTTATCAAATCATTTTATGAACAATTGTATTTGCTCTTTGATGCATTATCTCTTTCTGTGACAAATAAATAATGAACAAGGGAACACAGAAGAATAGAAGAAAAAGGTATATTTAGTCAATGTTACAAACAATAATCAAATGTTTCAACACACAACCAACATTTTTTGTTGTAAGATCTTTTGCCTTACTTGTTTTTTAATTTCTTTTTAATCCTTTGGTCTCAATCTCTGGCTTCCAAATGGTCACACATTTGTTTTCCTATAGATCAAAAATTATATTAATATTAAAAAAGTCAGTCTTACCTGATTGGTTCTGAAAAGAGACGTGCTAATAACTAACCAGAGGTAACTTTTTTTTAATTTGCATTGATATGTCTTTAAATCAAAATGTGGAGCAGATCGTTACTGGGGGTAATTATAAGATCCTTATCAAAATGTAAGGAGCAATTTTCTCACCTTGTTCCTTTTTCAAATATTTCTGATAGTACTATAATTCTTGGGTTCCATGGTAGACCTAATGTAAATTAGCTTCATATTAATTATTTTTATATAGGGGGTAGTTCTATATATCACTTAACAAATGAGACATTATAAAACTGTTAATTATGATCACATTACAAATGACTAAATTTTGATCCCTGAAATTCTTGGTTATACCAATGTTCACTTTGTCTGGTTTTGTTGCAGCATTTTCCAAATAATGTATAGAGTTGCAGATGAGAATGGTGGTGGTTATTTAGTAAAACAAAGATTTATATAAATTGAATAATTTAATAAATCAAATTTAATTCTATTCACCTATTCTATAACATTATCTGGTATTTTCCTGTGAGATTCTTAACAGCATATTCCACTGATTCCTTTTCTATAAAGGTCCATATAGCACCAATACTTTCTTGAAAATTTCTAATTGTCACTAAAGATACTGACTCAAGACTCTCAGGTACCATTTTTAGTAATCCTTGCCAAGAATAATCACGATTTTATTTTCTGCATTTCTTGGTTGATCTCTATATTGTCTTTTTCTTTTAGGAGGAGGTAATAAAAATAATAAAATATTCATTTATTGGAAAGAAATAACCCTGAAGCATTACAACAAGCAAAACAAAGAGATCAAAGGTTAGATAATGAATATTTGAATTTGATGGCTGAGTTAGGTGAAAACATTGGATCCAAAACTAATGAAACAACTGGAAAAACTGTAAAAATTTTCTATACACTAATCTCTTTTGTAAAGTTATTTTTTTTTTTGCGATTTAAAATTTATTTATTTATTTAAAAAATAGGGCCATTACGGGCCTGCAACTACAAGTAAACCACCATGGGTACAATCTAACGCAACTAGTGGAACCACTACAACACATTGGGCTTCAAAATCTTCAACACCAACTTCAACTGGGGTCCACACAGGATTATCATCTATTCCTCCCTGGCAACAAACAGCATCAACTACAATTCCTCCTCCACCCGGTAAAGTTTTTAATATAAATAAAATACATTTTTCTAAATTTTGATTGATAATTACGTTTTATGGTTTTTTTAACACCATGCTGTGTTTATACCTGATTGTTGGTCGTCGTCATTATCATTAGATCTTTTAAGTGAAAATCC